GAAAAGCAAGACTTATGCGACCAATATGTTTCCCAACCCTCACATGAGAAAAAGGGCACACCCAAGACTATCAAAAAACAATCCTGTACCAGTCACAGCACCAGATGCTTTAAGCTGCTTCTTACTGTGGGTTCACTCAATACAAAATAAAACAGAAACCCCCCCCGACCCCCCCCAAAAAAACCCCAAAGGCTTCCGGTTTCCTAACTAAAATGCAATCCCAACAGAAATCTCACCATTCCAGAGTTTTGAATATCCTAACCAAATTATCTACCATTTTAAGGTGATGTTTTGTGTGTGTGCACGTGTGTGTGTGTGTGTGTGTGTGTGTGTGTGTGTTGTTTGTTTTACACAAAGGTACTAAATTAAGGCCAGGCAAATTCAAATAGTCTTTCCCACATGACTTCAAATCTCAGTGGTACCTCCCACCTCTTCCTGTTCACTCTTTATGTGGGTCCCTAATTGCGAGTGGTTCCCAGGTATGTTGCCAAGCCATTATTGTTAGTGCTATGATGATTATCATCATTAATGAGCACATGCTATTATCTTTCTCCTCAAAATGTTTCACTGGAGCATTTAAAACAACCAAATATTTGTGTACTAGCCATTATTATGGTTGCAATTTGCCCTTTTCTCATTCCAAAGATAGGTGTCTGTTTCACTCATCCCCCTTTTAGCCAGAGGGCTGTAATCTAGCAGTTCTTATTTAATCCACACATGGGTTTGGAGAATGTAGGAGAAAGAAGAAATGAACATTGGAGTAGATTTAGTAACGAGAGGCATGAACTTGGCAGATGTGATGTTTTAAGTTAAGACATGGGGCATAGTTTCGAGTGTTTCTAAAAGGAAGCAAAAGTGAAAGAAATCAATTTGGTGATGGGGGAATTGTATTCTAGTGAAGTAAGAGGAAAAGACAGAAGGGAGATGAGAGAAGTGCGTTTTTGGAACCACTTGATTTTGTACAGAGCAGGAAAATTATCTACTCTTTGCACTTCGCACCTCCCCCACCACCATATGCTTCCCTAAAGTTTCCTTTTTCCATACTTGAAAGGACCACAGATTTTTAATAGTATTCATGCATTTGAAGTGCTAGGCTATTCCCAGCTTCCTCTGTTGTTGCATTTATGATGAGAAGTAATAAAAAAAATCCAAGTTATATGATAATGTAAAAAAAAAAAGATTTAATGAAAGGAATTTCAAACTAAAAGGCAGTTTAAGAAAAAAAAAAGTCAGTTGACCTTAAATAAACTGAGGTTCAAGATCACAACCAGATTCAAGGACTGAATTATAGGCCAGTCTCCTTCAGTGTCTAGGCTGCGAGAATTGAGTAGGTCACCACAGCAGAACACTAAATTGTAGACACCCCGGGGGCCAGAACACGTTGAAACAATGTCATCAAGAGGTCAAATTTACTTAGAATGTCTTGAATTCAGATGTCATAGTAAAAGCAGACAGGGTAAAGACAGGGAAAGTCACGACTATCTTTACAGAGGAAGATTTGCAATATAATATATCTTTATGCCTGAAATATCGCACTATTCTGTGAATGTCAGTTTGGGGGTGTCCAACACTGAGAGCCACTACTTTTGTCAAGCAGAGAGCTTTTCTTCCTCTTTCTGGGGAAACTGTGCTGCTGCCAAAGGGCAGAAAGCAAGACAGGAGACAGCTGATGGGGACACAGAGGGGGGCGTGCAGGGGGGAGCTGTGGCAAACCAGGGGGCATATGCAACCTATTATTCCCACCAAGACAAAACCACTTTCTAGGACCTCTGGTTTCCGTAACCCTCTACCCAAACTGCTTTTCCCTTTCAGATCTCCTGCATAGGATCATTGAAATTGGTATTTGTGAAGTTAATGTTGGGGTAGGGGCCTGGAGTGGGGGAAGTGTCTCAGCTCCAAGCATCTGACCCTGAACTTGCACTCCATTAGGACCAACCGTCTCCCCATTTCTGAAAGGCAGGGTGGACAGGCAGGCTTTGGAGCAGACAGACCTCTTTCCCAACCCTGCATCTACTTCTTACCATTGTGTGGTCTTGGATGTATCTTTTTGAACACCTTTGATGACAGTTTCCTTATTCATAAAATGAGTTTTACATGGTTGTTTTGTTTAGGGATTAGAAAGAAATGTGTATAAGTGACTGGTACCTAGTAGGTGATCAGTAAACGTAAAGCCTCTGGTGACGTCGCCTGCAAGACCCAGAGTCAGCAATGCCTTTGTTTCTTCTGCCTTTCATCTTTGGTTCCAAGACCACAGCTCTACCTGCAGAGCAGATGCTCACACTGAAAATAGCTCTGCTGGCTCCTGCTGTCCCTCCCTCTCTTTCCCAGCTTTGCAGCAAATGGCAGCCACTGGCAGCTCCATCGTCTTGGGGGCGTATGGATAAAGTCATTGATAGCAAAGATGTGGTGTGTGTTGGCAGCCACTCAGAAGCAAACACCTGAGTGTGGTCCTTTCGTTTCTTTCCCCCCCACCCGTTCTCAGTCCATTCCCAGCAGCAACCAAAGTTCCTGGGCCCACAGTACCCCCTGATGGCTAACGTGAGGAACTTCCTTTTCTCAGTGATGCTTCTCTTCTCCTGCCCTCTTTGAAACTCTCCCAGGTTTTGTTCATTCCATCATGGACCGTTCATTTCTCACAAGTATCCTGTGGACTCTTCTGCATTGCTTTTTTTAAAAAAATTATTATTTCATTTCTTGCTCAATTATTTCAGAAACGTGTACCTCCCTTCCTGTTTCTTTCCCTTTTTTTGTTCCCTTTATGAGTCCTCAAATTACTGTGGTTATGGTTGCTAAGAATAATAGTAGGATGACTGCATCTGTCTATCAAGAATAAAACCTCATACATTTAGAAGGAAAATAAGACATCATGAAGAACCAGCAGAAATAATCTGGAAAGTCCTTTGAGATACCCAGATGGCTTTTTCAGAGCCTGAACCTCCCCAGCTCTTTCTCCAAGTAACACTGATCTTTTCTCAACACTCAGATAATTTTCCTATTTACTTAATTGCCACAGTTGTACTAGTTTGTCCCCTACTGTTTCATTGCAGATATAATTCCTCTACAATAAGGGTGAAGTGCATTCCTGTGGGCTATTCCGGAACCAGTGCACAATCTTTCACAATTCGTTCTCTATGGGAAAGCGAATTCAAAGCTCCCATCGCTTTAGAATGAACTTTCGGAAAATGTTACCTACTGTAATTTAACATTGAAAATTTTTGGTTGGGAGTGGTCAGTCTATAAAATTCCTATTTGACATCTGTATCCTCTGGTTTTCATCTATTAAACCATGACATCTCCTGGGGTTAGTACTTACAGATGCATTCAGGTATGACTTATCTGGGCAGACCCTGTTTCTTCTGTTATCAAAGGAAAAATATACTAACCAGATCCTGATTTGATATGTTATGGGAATGTTCTAGAAGGTTATTAAATTCATGTCCATGACTATAGATTGCTTCTTGATAAAAATACATCAAATATGTCTCAAAATGTAAATGCTTATTTTCCTTAACTTAAATTCAAATAATACCAATGACTTATGTCTTTATTTATAGAGGCTTAAGTTTAAAATACTTTTTAAAATACAAATGATTTTGACATGGATTATTAAAATGCCATTAATGTTATGCTTAATTCTTCTGATTTAGGAATTTATTCTCAAGCTAGAGGTTAGTAACTAGAAGGCATCTAAAGTTCTGATTAAACAACGAATTGAAAGATTTCTTTTGTGAATTAACATCAATTGGCTTATTTTTTCCAGTTTTGAATAGTTAAACTTAAAAGTAAAAGCTTATAAAAGTTGACATGAAATAACGGATTTATTTAATAAAATGGTAAGTGCCCTATTGCGACCATATATAGATATATATATGAAAAACTTAATTTTTAAATCATTTTATATAATATTTTCCTAATTTGGTCATAACTCAAGGTAATGCTTGTATAATATTTCTTTCATTTGAAATAATTTCCATATTCATAGAATTGCAATTATTTTTTCCTTTAAAATAAAAAAAATGCAAATCAGGTAAAGTAACCGCTAAATACCACCCATCCAATTTCACCAAAATTCTGTGAAAATGGATTTTCTACGTAAATTCTAAATGCACACTAATGTAACAATAATGAAGAATAATGTCATAAAATAGTTGTGTGGAACAAAAGGTATTTTAAGTGATTGTTCATCAAAGAACATTATTTGAGTTGACATAGTCACATTTTTTCTGAAAAAAAGATATTTGCTTTCCGACAATGTATCCCTTTTGCATTCATAAAGTTTTGGAGGTACAAATTAAAACATTCAGTGTTAATGTTTTTGAAAGCATTACGTTTAAATTATTTTCTCAGGACCCAAAGAGAAAACACCAGAGGAAACATAACCAGCCTGAATTGTTTAAAATGTATTTTCCCTTTAATTAAATAGGAAACATCTGTCTAGGGATTTTGGAAATGAATGTAATCCATCCACACTCTGCCTCTACTAGTTTGCATCCAATGTCCAATATTTTGAAAGAAAATTCTTTCTTTCTGTAAAGAATTAAAGAGCGACATGGAGCGATGTCTGGGTCTGTAGCTGCTGGGGCTGGCCTCCAGAGTTTGGGCGCCGGAAACGCCAAGGAGTTGGCTTTTCTCAGGTCTGTCTTTGGGAAGCAACCAAATTCGCTCCATAATCAAGGTGAGAGGGTAACATTTGTATTTCTCCAAAGCATCTACTCACTCTGAAAACGCTTGTCTCAGGACAGTAAGGAAACAGAAGTTACTAGGATGCATGGAAATACTCCAGGTCAAAACACTGTTCCCTCTCTGGCGTTCACTCAGCATTTTCCTCCCACTCAGGCTTAAAAAAAAGAGCTCATTTCTCTAGGGACCTGCACAGCCCACAACACAGACCCATCAGACAGGCCAAATGAGTACAAAGAAAGTGGGGAGTTGACTCCAACAGGATGGCTTTGGTTCTTTGAAACCAGGGCCCACGGTTGAGAATGACAAATATCACTTACTGGTGTTGTCAAACGGTATCTGCTTGCACTGCGCAGACCCCTCTGCGGGCCAAGGACAGTAATAGACGGCGCCCCCTTCCACGATGTCTGGCTGGCTGGTGTTGGCTTTGGGCGCCCCCACCAAGACACTCGGTCTGCGAAAGGGTTAGAGAAAAATCACTCGGCGGGAATCATGAAAGTGCGTGCACGCGATGCAGTCTCTTACCGCATGCCCACTGAGACTAGGGCGGGGGGTCTTAGGCAGAAACGTATTTATGAGAGAGACCGACTGTCAAACTTGATTTCCTCTTGGAAACCTACGGGGCATCTGAAACCTGGTTTGGAAGAGGGTGCAAATAGTTCTAATTCTTCTCTAAATGGAGCTGTGTATACAGAGAGAGAGAGAGAGAGAGAGAGAGAGAGAGAGAAGAGGGAAGAGAGAAGTAAAGCATAGGACAGAGCCCAGCTGCTTGTAGCAGACAGCACTTGCGCCCAGACGCTTAATTGTTACAGGCTATGTATAAACAGACCGTGTTGTGGTCGCTGTTTTAACTGGCTTAAGTCTGCTTGGTCCCGCTTTCCCCTTTGTATGATGCTCGAGTCTTTGTACTGGGAAGTCCCCAGGACTGGTGTACTCTATGCAAGGGGCAGGTCTCTAGATCAAAGTGCGCAGGGCACATACATCGAGCCTGGAATGGGGGGGTGGGGGTGGGGGGGAAGAGGCTAGTGGCCGGGAGTCGGATGGGACCCCAAAGAGGCAGCGGGAGGGAATCTCAGGAATCGCCTTCCATCCCTCCGGCAGAGGGGCAGGGACTCAGCCTGCAGCCGGGCTCGCCCACGCGCGCGAACACCCCGCGCGGGGCGACTTACGTGCGAGCCGCAGGTATGTGGAAGTCCACCGCGTAGCCGAAGTAGCTGCCCTCGGGGCCGCTGTACACCGTGAGCTTGTCCACATCCAAGTTGAACGCCTGCGAGGAGGGGGACCACAGCATCCCCAGCGCGGCCGAGAAGCAGCAGAGGGGCGCGAGCGGCTGCGCCCGGCTGCCCCGGGGACCGCGGCGGGCCCCGGCAGACATCGCCCTCCGCCCAGGCAGCTGCGCACCGGGGAGCGGGACCCCCGGTGGAAAAGTGCGGGGCTGGCGGCTGGTGGTCCCCAGATGCCCGCGTCCCGGCTCGGTGTGCGCGGCGCGTCCGCGGTGACAGCCCCGGGCGCTCAGGCGCGCGTCCCCTGCGGTCTGCTGCCCGCCAGCTCCCGGGCCGGCTCAGGGGCTGGCGGGGGAGATCCGAGCCCTCCTATGGTAACGGGCGGGGGCCGGGCGCGCTCGCGGCGCCTCCTAGCGGTGAGTAGGCGGACTGCGGGCGGGAGCCGGCGACTCGGGGGGCAACCCTCGCCCCTGCTGGCGGCCGGCGCCAGTTTCGGCCGCCTGGTTTTCTATTGCAGTCGCATCTCAAGGAGGATCTGAGTCTCGCACACGTCAATTCAAGCCATTGCTTTTAGAAGGAATGCCCCCGCATGGGGCGAGAGTTTGCTCCAGTTTCTCCCAAATGGAAGAATGTGAAAGCGTACCCCACCACGAGGGGAGATAAAGCGTCCCCTTTGCATCGCCCCCGCAGTCCTCCGAGCCCCTGAGAGTCAATGCGTTTGTTCTTCTGTGACTGGGAATTATGGTTTAAATCCCAACAGCCCTCTCCTTCCCCAGCCCCACCCCACCTCAGCGCAGAGGAATCGAATGAACAAAGAAAGCCTCAAGATGTTTAGGTCTTTCTCGAAGGCACGTGGGCACGTTAAATGTCTCGGTACTACATCTTGGTAACCCTGTGCAATTGTGATGAAGACTGGCAGGGTCAGGAATGCTGTGATTTACAGTCTCCCCTCAGCGGGGGCCAAGGTGTAGGCTGGAATCTACAGGAGTTCTATTATTGACCTCTTTCTGTGTCCTGCGTTTGGGGGCGTAAATGAAGGATGGGTAAGTAGGTGGAGAACGGAGAAGAAGCACCTAGTGCAGATGCCCTCACATAACGTACGGTCTTCCAGGGAAACAGGACTGATGCTAAAACAGAGCAGCTAAGCACTAAACTGGTGGGGCTAGGGTTAAAAAAAAATAAGTTTAGAGACAGGAGAGGTAAGTAGTTTCCGAAGTATTTTAGGGAGATTTGGTGGCAGATGTACGCCTGGGCAGGGCTTTGAATCAGAAGCTTGGATTGGGGCATGGTGGGTGGAGAAGTTGAGGGTGAGTGTTAAAGACACAAAGGCTGGGATGAAACAAATAGTTGTGCAAGGAATTGGAATAAAAGAGTGCGTTAGGGAGTGGTAGGAAGTAGGGATGGATCTCCTGAGACAGAGGATCCTAACAACAAGAGCATTATTGAGGGTAAGGGAGGCAGCTCTACAGCAGAGGAGTGACATGCCCCCAGGGCTTCAAAAAGTTTAGCGGTCAGGATGTGTGTTGGGGGAAGGGGAGCTGTTGTTAGAAGGAACAGAAAGAAAAGACGCTGTTGCCCAAATGCTTTGGGCGATGGGGACCTCAATGTGATTGACAGAAGAGAAGGGAGGGACAGGAGGGGAGGGAAGGCCACAGTGTTAATGACAAGGCAAGGGGTCATAAGATGGATGGCAAAATGAAAGTGAAAGACGGTCCAAGGTGACTCTGAAGGCATCTAGTTAGGAGAGAAGAACAACAAAACAGTAATGATGGGGCCAGGAGAGCAGGATGGGAGGTAAATGGTGAGTTCCACGCTGGACTTGTTGGATCCGAGTCCCTACTGTGGGAGCCCCAGAGATGCTGGAAGCATAACATGCAATTCAGAATAGTGGTTAATCTGACGGTGTAGACTGGGGAGTCTAACCACAGAAAATCTCTGAAAAGCTGGACTTTGTCATCTCTCTTACATCAAAACCTGCTTGGTAGACAGATTTGAATGTTATGTTTTTATCTTTGCTTGTCTTGTCCCTATAAAAATAGTAAATAATAAGAAGAAGAAGCTATAAGATTACCTGCCAAATCACCAGGTCTGGATAATTTTCTGACTGGATAGTTCTTTCCCCCAACAAAGACTGAGGAGTAGATCGTAGAAGACTTTTTTCTTCGTCCAAAGTCCTTCTGTGTGAGACAGAGTCTGCTTCTCTGGTCAAGTCACTATTGTTAATAAAAGCGATGTTCCCTGTAGTAAATTTCGTAGAGTAGTTCACATGCAACATCCACATGGGCTGTTCAGAGCTGCGCAGGATATTGAGGCTAGGGAATAAATTCAACTCCGTCATTTCCTGACGCTGGCATGCTGGAATTTATAAATTTGTCTATTGCAGGCAAGCCTTAAGTTAAAATGGAACACCTAAATAGGTGGAAAGTAATAGCATAACCCTTAGATGTGCCCTTGGGTCATGTACTGATTTACGGGACAGAAGTAGCAACATATTATAAAATGCTTTGAGTCGTGTAGGGCAGCACATCACCAGGGTGGTCCCCTTTTTTTACTCCCTTGCCTTGTGTTTCCAGTGTATTCCTTGTCTTTTTATTTAAGCTAGGGTAGGTAGGGAAAGAAGAGTCTATTATCGCCACATAATTGGCTGTATCTACTTGTTCCTTTTAAAACACACTTGCTCTTGACTTACACAACAAGCCTGTATTCTTGATAGCGTCACTTTCCGCCTTACAGCTGAGGGCTTTAGGGTGTAGGGAGATACAATAATATAAATATGCATGCTCACAGAGCAATTAAGTGGTACGATTTGAACCCGGGACTGTCAGGTGCCAAAACCAGTTCCCCATGCTATGAGGTCTATAAGAATCTGTTTAAGTTATAATAATAAGAAGAACCCGCTCTAGAATTAGAAAGCTATTCTGGGCTGGCCCTTTGAGCATGCCTGTGAATAGTGATTAAGGAGTGGGATGAAATAGCTGTGTGTTCTTCCAAGATGTCTTGGAAAAGAGTTTGATGGTACAGCAGTTCCCTCTTATCCAGAGTTTCACTTTCTGTGGTTTCAGTCAACTGTGGTCCAAAAATATTAAATGGAAAATTCTAGAAATAAACAATTCATGAATTTTAAATTGCGCTCTTGATGAAATCTCGTGCCGTCCTGCTCCGTCCCACCTCAGACACCCTTTTGTCCAGTCTCCACACTGTAGACACTCTGTGCCAGTTAGTCCTTGAGTAGCTACCTCAGCTATCAGAGTGACTGTCGCAATGTCGCAGTGTTTGTGGTCAAGCGACCCTTATTTTACTTCTGAATGGCCCCAACGCACAAGAGTAGTGATGCTGACAATTCGGATATCCCCAAGAGAAGCCGAAAAGTGCTTCCTTTAAGTGAAAATGTATCTACGTATAGGAAGACAAACAAACAAACAAACATAGTACATATAGGGTTCAGTGCAATCTGCCCTTTCAGGCATCCACTGGGGGTCGGAGTATGCATTTCCTGTGAATAAAGGAGGGGGCTACTGTACCTTGGTATTCAAAGAGTGGAGGAAAAGCAAACTAACTCGAAGCTCTTTGACCTCCCTGGGGAGCCAAAAGCCTGCGAGCTTAGTACATCTCCCAAGAAGCCTGGGGGGAAAAGCTGCAAACATTCAGGGACGGGGATAGGTCTGAATAGGTGTCTGACACATGGGAAGCATGCCAATCAGCAAGGTCTGGGGTGCCATCAAAGAAACACGTGGGCCGTGATAGGTCTCACGCTGAATGAGAAGTTTTGACATTTTAAAGATCTACTAACAGTGATTTATTTTCAGAAAAGCAAGTCTGGGAATTGTTTATCATGCGTGTGAGTACATGTGTATGTTTCATACTGGGAAAGGTATACATAGTTGTTTCTCTAAAAAGAAAAGAAAAGAACCCAAAGGTCAAAGATGGAACAGATTTGGCCAAAGCTTTCCAAAAATAAATAAGTAAAGAGCACCACAGGAAAAAAAAATGATTGCTGGGTTGTAGCCATGTACAAAGTACTTAAAAATAGAGATGTTGTAACATTTAACCATTAGTGAATACTTTTTAACCGAAGACCAAATACATTCGGAACTTAACCGATTGTTATTTCTGACTGTTTAAGTCCATTTCTTGATATGATTAAAATATGATCCTATCTTCAAATCAAGAGGCATGAATCCCAACATAATTATTTCATTTAACACAACCCCATTTTCTATATGTTAATTAAACCATTTACAAATAATCCAATGTAAAAATAGCCTGTTCTTAAAGGTTCTATCAGCTTGAAAAATGAACCCGAAATGGAAGGTAGTTTTTCGATCTCTTGTAGTTTCTGGAATTGAGGTGATCTCAGGTTTTTCTTTTGGCTGACTGTACTTCATTTTTCTGCAATATTAGACACAACTGATTAGTAGAACCTGGCTAGTTAAATTGAAGGGAAAGAATTTTTAAATCCATCAAGTGTCTCAGTGAACTTAAGCTTAAGTCTGCAAATTTTCTGTTCTGGTCCCTGGAGGGTAAATCTCATCATAGTAAAATCATGTTTTTGTTTTTGTTCTTTTTGATAATTTTGTTTGTAATTATCTTTTATGATTTTCCTTCATGACTTTTTAAGTCACTTTTAAGTTAAAAGTGCTGCCCAGTGGCCCCCAGGGTTGGCTGAAGTTCAAGCACAGCCAAGAGTTGGTTCAGCTGAAGGAAAATTCCCACTAGTCGAAACCAGACTCTGACTTGATCTCTTTTTAGAATGAGCCTTTTAAATACAGCTCTGCTTTCAACAAAAATAAAAATAAATAAAACAATTCTTCCTCTAAAGGGAAGGTAACCAGGAAAACGATGCTCTTCCAAAGCCTTGACGTTTTGGGATAAATCTTCCTGAGAGGATAAGCCCCAGGGACACCTGAACTTATCCTCAGGAACTTGAATGATTTACAGATTTCAGTTAGGGCCAGTACACTCCAGGATCCTGAAAAACCTCCACATGTCCAATATGTTTGGCGGAATGGACCTTTTAGGTAACTATTGGCCAAAGTGACTAAAGCAAACTTCCAGGGAAAAAACTCACAACATCTTGCTGTAAATTTGGAGTCTGGCAACTGGGGAGACCAGTTCCCCAAAAGCTCATGTTTGAGTCCAGTGCCAATATTTTTGAGAGGCTCTTTATTATTATCAAATTCCAATAAGGTGTGAGAGTTCAGGGCAACAGACGCTCATCTCTGGGAAAAAGGCTCACTGAAAATGGGGAGCCAGGCACTCTCCCCTCCCATACGTGAGCGAGACACTCTCCCCACCCATGGATGCACGAGCGAGGTGTCTTAGCTTAGCCTTCCATAACAAAATACCAGAGACTGGGTGGCTTATAAAAAACAACATAAATTTATTTCCCCCAGTTCTGGAGGCTAGAAATCCAATATCAGGTGCCAAAAAAGTTAGGTTCTGGTGGGGACCCTCTTCTAGGCTGTGGATGGCTGCCTTCATGTTGTGTCCTCGTGGCCCCATGGGGTGAAGAGTTCTCTGAATCCCTCTGAGAAAGGCACTAATCTCATTCATGAAGGTTCTACCCTCATAACCTAATTATTTCCCCAAAGTCACACCTCCTAACACCATCACATCGGAGGTTAGATTTCAATATATGAATTTGAGGGGGGGAGGGCGGGAACACAAACATTCCTGCCATTGTACCAGGACTTGAAAG